TTCTTTTTTTGCAGCTGGTTTCTGTATGGCCCTTTCAATGACACTTACTGCAACAATGTTCTTTATACGAGCAAAACCTTTTATAGTGCCAGCCTCCACATGTCCAGCATGGAGATGATGGATTGTCGCCATTATTACGATAATTAGGTGTGCTGGAACCTTGCACGACTTTTCTCTCAACAGCATTAACGTGGGGAACTGGTTAGTGTTTTCTATCGAGGTATCGTGCTTCAAATTCACTAACCTTTGACATTTATTAGTCACTTCCTGCAGGGTCATGTTGGGACAATGCTCAAGTTTGCTTAGGATTCTCGTTCGGATGTCAGCATCCTCAGGTGAACGCAGGCTACAGACAAAAACTAAGCAGTTAAACTGGTCTTCAGACATGGAAGTCAACTTGAACCTCTCGCATTCTCGGTTCACAATACCTTTTATATGAATGATTTTCTCTATACCTTTTCTCAGTTGAGCATCATTCTTCATGTCTTCTATTTAACCAATATTGTCTTATATAATTTTTTTACATATTTTTTTTTACATTGATACCTTTGTACATGTTTCTATTATGTATAATACTCTGTATATCCATGAGCTCCTTTTTTTGGGGGAGGAGGGGTCATGTTGGTCTACTTGATGACCTTACTGTTTATAAAACTGGAAACTTTTTTCTTTACTTCTTTGGGAATCTTCTGTTTACAATAAGAAAAAAAGGTCATTCATTCAGTTTCTTTTATTTTTGTAAACGTCTGCATATCAGGTCTATTTGTATTCACTTTGGTACTTCCAAGATCATATATACGTCGAAGGAACTATTTTTATGACAAGGTACTACTACGACTAATAATAATACTGATAATAATTCTTTACATGTAGCTTTATCTTCATAAGGATTTGTCAATATTGATGTTTATACTTTGATCTTGAACATTTCAACATCTATAATTGTAAATTGTATTATTCACCTAACCCATTGGATTTACAACGATTAACAAATTCTTCAATGGATGTAAATATCATTACTGTTATGTCTTTGATATGTCTACCCATTTTTGTGCAGAGGATAACTTGTCTAATGTAGACCTTGATGCGATAAGCTGACGGGCTTAACCTTGAAGCGAGTATGCATGAGTTCGGATATGAGATCAACTATACTTAGGGTGGAAAAATGAAAACTACTCTATCACCTGATTGGCCGACAAGCACGTGCGCGTGCGGAGGAGAGAAAACAAAGTCAACTGAAACACTCGATTTATTCCTGATTCCGATACCGATATCAGATTAGTATAAAAAGATACATGAATAAATCGAAGACCATCCTGACCATAACGCACAACAATTAGGAAAATACAATTACGTCCAAAACTGGGGATTAGATTAGAAAATTAGAGTACAAAAGATTACGTTTAAATTACGATGAGCTTTAAAACAAAAAAGGCTATCATAGTGAATCATACATCAAACGAAAGCTTATGATCTGTAGAATAGACTAGGGATAAAAGTAAGTGTTACTGTTTTACAAGCTTTGAACTAAATGAAAAAACGTCCCTAAAAATAGCCTCAGTAGTTTATCAGGGTTTCTTGTTTCTCAGTTCACATCAATTATCAAGGTTTGACTTGATAAATTAGAATAATTTCAACATTAGGTAGATTGTTATAAATAAATATAATATATTTCTAATATCCCAATGGGTAGAAAAATCAGATTTATTCTGATGTTTCGCGACTCAGTATAAAACACTTCTTCAGAGCATAAATAACGAAATCAGAATTAATCCACGTTTAACGAGTGAATATTAGGTAATATTTTAATAATTACAACGTTTCGTTCAGTAAATGTGTCTGCGTTTCTTCAGGGTATTAATCGAAATCAAGATCTTCAAAGAAATGTATGATGTTTAACAATCAAATAAAATCTTTACTGTGCTTATCGAATCATATTCAGATGCTGATGTTAGTAAGTAGGACAACATGTGTCGTTTACATACGAATCATGTGAAACGTTTTCAATGCAGAAATAAATGATTGTATGTGTATGATTGAGTTATTAATAGTTGATATTCGGTGTTAATTTGCTTTTATATGAACTAAAAATAGAAGTGCAAGTTGAAGGTTGATATTGTTTCTGAATCGTCGATGTGCATGTAAAATGAAAACCACCAAATAAATAATCGTAGTGCTACAGTATTCCAGATCAGTTTCTGTCAGAATAACGATCGATGTGAAATAATTAGATTGGATAGAGAAAGGGTCCAAATATTTGTTAACGAAAACTTGTCAAGTAGTTGCTAGTTGAATACTATCCTTTCGATTCGGACTGCTCTTGTTCGTTTATTCATACAGCGCTTCTGCTGTCAATCTTTATTTGATGATGAAATAGAGCTTTTAAATGAAACTGATGAGAAATGGATCTACACTATGAATCCACGCTTAGCTGAAACAGATGACTGGTTTAATCTTAAGATCAGCCTTTCGTAGTGTTGTATGAAAACTAACTAGGATGTCGACAAACGGGAATTCATGCACTTTTAATCTACTGAAAAAGTTTGTCATTAATTTAAACATACTCTTATAATATTGATACGGATTTTATGTGGAGTTCATAAACAGGTGTAAAAGTCAATTAATACAAAAACCCCATTCTTTATTCTGCTGAGAAGAAAATGGTTTATATCTCTACCATCTAGAGGCGGATCAAACATTATGATTTTGAGACAGACATTGAGAAAACATATTACACTGTTAGACTGGTTGTGATTGAAAGGACTAAGCTCATGATCCCACTTAGACCTAGACACTGCATGAACGATTACATCACATCCCATTACATGTTTTTGAAAACACACACATAGGTAGTAGTAATGGAACATGTTCCTAGATGGCTTCGGACCAGGTAGTGTTAGATGCTCTGATAAACGTGGGAAATTATTAATCATGTTCATCGATATTAGGACATATGTTTGAAACGGAGTATAGAATTGACTTCAATACAACCTTTAATGCGTTGTATAGAAATCGTCGAGGATGAATTCTTAGCTTTATAGCAGCCTTGGTTATTTGCAAATTCAACAATCCTATATTTCTAGAAACAATTTATCGTAACCTTGAATTTACCCTAAGTCGTAAAATGATCTAGGGTAATACCACAGTGTCCTATTCTCTTCATGGTATGCTACTTCTCTTTCTCCTTTATTTATATTTATCACTTTATATTCATTTTAACTTTTAGTTAATTGACCCTTATTAGTTTTTAAACAAAATGCTTTGACATGTACATATGTGACCAGATTGTTCGAATTGTAAAGAGTAAGTGCATCACATTCTTCATGTCCTGTCCATCTTCTTATTGTTCTATCAAAACTTAATAAAATTTCTTATAATAATGTGACTAAAAAAACTATTACCCCTATTAAACATTTCGTATAATATGACATTGAGTTGGGAATGCTGATTGATTGACATGATTTATCAGAACAGAGAAAATGATTCTTGATCTGTTTATTCTCATTACCTTTACATAATCCCTAAATTATTACTTCATGCAATGGAGTGAAGATGAAATTCACTTGCACAAGCAAATGGCTTTGAAGACTCAGTAGCTGAGTGGATAACGTGATGGCGTTTGAAGTGAAAGGTACTGGGTTCGAGTCCCAGAGTGAACATCAACTCTGAGATGCAGGTACATCCAGCTGACGAGTCCCAAATAGAACGAAATGCGCGTCGTGGATTCCACTGCTAGCCACTACCCATCTTTGCTTATAATGCTTGTGAATTAAGGCTATATCGAGGCAATACGCTTAGTATGCACATATGCCAATTAGAGACTGACCAGTTGCAGTCCAAAACATCAATGGGAAGATTCAAACAAATAATACCAAATGAATAACCATTACTGTTCATAACATTCTTTCCTTTAACTGATATATTTGATTAGAAAATATAATTGAAAAACATTGAAAATAACTCTGTAAAATGATATCAGAAAAATAATAAATAAAAATGAATAAAATAATCATTTTCTAGATTTATATGTTATAAACAAACAATAATAGTAATGAAAATATTCTAGGGAGAAAGAGAGACAGACGGACAAACAGACAGATAGAAGGGATCAAATCTTGAAGGTTACTGTGATCTGGAAACGAAAACAGAAGAAGGAGGAGCAGAAGCAGAAGAAGAAGGAATCAATCATAATGTTTAACATATCAAGCATAGGCAACAAATAAAGATTACATATTAAATATTAGAAATTAAGAATATCTGTTACATACAAGAAGCTAATGAATAGTATCTGCATTGAATTAAGTATATCAGTAGTCTCTGCAATTGAAGAACATATGGAACTCAAAATAACTGTCAACTAACTTCAAAGTGAGAATCATCAATACGAACATCAAGACAGTCCTACTGTACGAAGCTGAAACGTGGACAACTGCTACATCCATCGTCAAGACGGTTCAAATATTTATAAACAGTTGTTTACGCAAAATACTCAACATTCACTGGCCGGATACTATCAGCAACAGGTTTTTGTGGGAGAGAACAAGCCAGCTTCTAGCTGAAGAGGAAATTAGGAAAAGACGTTGGAAGTGGATAGGATATACATTAAGGAAACCACCAATGTTCATCACGAGACAATCCCTAACTTGGAATCCAGAAGGGAAGCAGAAAAGAGGAAGGCCAAAGAACACATTACGTCGGGAAATAGAAGCAGATATGAAAAGAATGAATAAAAACTGGAAAGAACTGGAAAGGATTGTACTGAACAGAGTTGGATGGAGAATACTGGTGAACGGTCTATGCTCCTCCACGAAGGGTAACAGGAGTAATTAAGTAAGTAATATCAGTAGTCATTTACTGTTTATGTACATGTACATGTATATTATTGAATAAATTATGACTATTATGCTCAATGAAATAACAACAAAAATAGATAAATAAATCAATAATATTGATTTTCTTCTTTTTTTTCCTTTATCACTTTTTTTCTTTTCTTTATTTATCTAGTTGGTTATTAAAAATGTATCCACAGCATTGAATTGTAAAAATGTTGCAATAAATACACAACAATGCCATATTGCATGTGCCAATGGGATATGACCATCTAATTTGAAAAATATCACACCAGATAAATAAACAAATGCCCCAGTAAATAATAATGGTAAACCAGATCGTTCATGCTAGAAAATGAGAAAATAAAAAAATAGAGAACTTGTTACTGTAGGGAGCTTGTGAAGGTTGTTGAGGTTCGTCGAATAGATTACATGGAAACACAATGGTCTTGATAAACTAGAAAGCATTTTACGTCTACTTCATTCTAGTATCAAACTGTTCAGCAGTGAACATTCATAATTCTGTCACCGGGGATCGAACCCAGAACCTTTGAGTCTCATGGTGAACATATAATCTTCGATAGAAGCTCAGACTTTAAAAAAAGAAATAACGAGTAGTAGGTAGTGAACAAAACACTAGTCGGGGACAATCGAATTTAACTAAGTACAAATTACAGACTATCTCACTAAATTCTGATAACCATACAATGAATAGTTAATTTGCAAAATAACAATTAATTGTGACAATCTTAACTGTTGCTTCTGCAGATATCAGTCTTTCTTCTCCGATTATTATTGTTCATATGTTTCCGTACCGATTACGCTTCATTCTTGTTCATTCCTTATCGATCTTCTGTGCAAATACATTCTATGTCTGACCATCACCATACACTACTTATATGGATATAAGTAGACCACACTACAGTAGGACGTAACACATCCAAGATAATTCGCTAGACTTAGAAATCTTTTCCATAATCTCCATTCTTCATGAATACAATATGTATTTTACTTTTGATTCATCTTCTACACAGAACTAGTATTCAAATTCAAATGACGATTAACTTCCTTCTTACAAATGAATAGAATAAAATTTATGAATATATGATTACTCACCATGTAAATGAAACTATAAGCTGGACAAATGGAAATTGCTAAATAGATCATCAGTTCAACAGATTTAAATCTAAAGAGATGAAGAAAATTAAAACAAGTAAGATTAAACTACTTGATCATATATATGACTAATCTACTAAGTAGAAAAACGTGTACTCAGCTTCAGTTCCAAGTGTAATGGCTAGTGAAACCATCGAACTGACTAAATAGAGATAGCTAAAGAACGGTTTGAAATTACGACTATTTAGTGACTGAAAGTCAAACCACTGAGCCATCTTCGCACACTATATAGGAAATCTCACATATATGATGAGATGTATACCAACATTAGAACTATTTTCTATAAGCATATATCTGACACATCTTTTGGAAATGAATGAAATCAAATATAATGATTTAATGAGAGGTTTTGCGTTATTATCAATTTAATAAGGCTGAATATATCCTACTAAAGTAATGAATCAAATCATTACATAAAGAGATACATACCTTTAATTCAAACTTTAAGAGATGATGTTTTAATGATCCAAACTCGAAAATACTTAATTTTTTACGAAGGTAAGTAGTACTTTTATTCAACAAAACAAAGCTTGAATATGTTCCTATAAGACGATTTTTCTTTAGCTAAAAATATACCCAAAATAAGTTTCCTATATAATGTTTAGATGAAAGTAAGTTTCCTTACTACTGTAGACTTTATTTCCAGTTGCTATCTTGTTCCGTCTATTATACTTCAATTTTCAATGTCATCAAACTGTGGTAAAATGCATTTGTTGAGTAGTTACAAATGAACCCCTGTCAAAACCTGTTCCATTTCTATGTTGCATAACTAATACGTATTAGACAAAAGATTTTGTGTTTTAATGCGAAGTTAACTGTCTATCAAATATGAAAGGATAGCGCTGTGACTAATTCGCTTACAGATGCTGGAGGATGCTCATCAACGTGAAATGAGAGATCATTTTATGTACGAATTCAATAGTCCTAATCCTTTCTCAAATAGTAAACAGTGAATATCAAAATAAATGCTTTTTTTCACTTTTGCAAGTCTATTTGTTTCTTTATTTAAACACACAAATATTGGTACAAGAGAGCACTAGATATATGTGCGACACACAAATCTCATTTAATTTGTGTGAGAGCTATGATACTGCCCATGTGCGCAAACTGAAACAGGTGGTTTTCTTAAAGAGCCAAACCCCGAGCCTTTGACCTAAAGATATGATCCACAAAGCAGTGGAGCATCGTATTTAGATGCAGTCCCGTGGTAGCCGGTGACCAACAATTGATTCATACTCCATTTGTTCCCTCAGGATACTGGAGCCAGCCCATGTGCATCATTGGTTTGGAATGAGGGTTTTCCAACTCCACTAGGTGAACTTTCCGTATCCACTGGTCCGGTTAGACCGCCGGACATTTGCTTTTCGTCCTCTCAATTTCGTAGACAACAACCCCTCTGAGAGAAGGCTGTGAGTAGGACTTCCCTGTCCACATACTCAATGCCCAACTATTGTGAAACGATTCATTCGAGTTAAGACTGTAGTCTGTAGAAAGTTTGTCATCAATGTTGTATAGACATTTGGTACCATCAATTGGCGATAAGATTATCATGCGAGTGTTCATGTATGTATGCTTGAAGGTTTCCATAAACAAACTAATACGAAATTTTAAGATTAAATATTTACACTACTTATAAATAGTAATGATATATAAATGAAAAAATCAATCGTTATGAAACACAAAATGATCACTAAATAATTTCACTTTTAAGAGCTACAAAGGTGATTTTATTTGCAATTTGTCTTCAGTAAGATTAGTGGTTGGTAGAAACTAAGCGCTAATGTAAAAAAAACTCGTGTGTATCTTGGTAAACTAAATCATTTATAAGTTTCTAAGTAAAGTTAGTTGGTGGTAATCAATGGAATAAGTTATGCGTCAGTCAGTCAGCTACAACGTAGGACCAGGCACATTTATGGATCGGTTCAAGTTGTCATACATCGTTAGCACAACAAGATGAACACCAAATTCATAGAAGTAGTCAATTTAGTGGTGGTAGTATATAAAAGATAGGTTGTATATAAGGATATAGTATAGGAAGGAAGAAAGTTATGAAGTAATTTTAATTTCAAAGTTTAAGGAGAGATAAAGAGTATATACACCTACGCCATTGTGATCAATGCTGAGCCATGTTATGCATGTCCTATTTTTTTGGTACTCGTTACCTAGATGTACCTGCATCCTGTTGTCGATGTTCTCAAAAGAAGAATTGAAAACACTATCTTTCGTTTGAAAAGTCAAATGCATTATCTATTGAGTTACTATTTTGTGTATTGTGGACGAATCTTATTTCGTAATTGTGTGAATGTTCACGTAGGAATGATATATGCTAGATCAGAGATACAAGTATAAGTAATTAGTCAGCTTACTTATACATATATATGTCTATCGGTTGAGGGCTCTGGATGGAGACTGGTAGGTCCTGGGTTCGAATCTCGCGAGTGGATGCGCACTGCTGAGGAGTCCCATAATAGGACGAAACGGGCGCCCAGTGCTTTTAGGTTTTCCATGGTGGTCTACCTTCAATTGACTCATGGTTTCAACTATGAAAATACTGAAATCTCCACAAAAAACCCTTCTGACATATATATAACTTATTTAACGGTTATAAAAGTTAGATCGTTATAAGAAACTCTTTCGTGCTGAGGTTGAAACCTATTAATCATTTTTGAAATATATTCTTCAGTCCTTGAAGAACTCATTAGTGCTCGAACGTAAATCTATGACATTATGGCATTAATCCCTGAAGAAGGAAATATATCGGTTTTGACTAGATAAATAATGTATAGCTACTATGTATCGCTATCTGACTTTCAGTCTACTCTCATAGCATTAGTTATTCATCTAATCTTCACTTTGTTTTAAATGTGTTTTGTGATCACTACTCTAAGTCTATTTACCCACGTTCGACCTCCTATTTCCAATGTTTAACAATTTCATTTATCAGAAGGGGTTTTGTGGATATTATAGTAACTTTAACATTTGAGATGATGAATCAATTGAAGCTAGACTACCATGGAAAAACTGGTAGCACTGGACAGCCTTTTCGTCCTATTGTGGGACCCTTCAGTAGTGTGCATCCGCCTCGCGAGATTTCATTTAAGTTTATTTCTTTATTTCAAAACCCGCGTTTCGTCAGGCAAATGCATCTATATCTGAATTTCTAAATTCATTCTATTGGGTTTTTTTACTACAGGAATGCATTTTGTAAAGAAAGAAGTTCTAATAATCAGTAAACTTGTTCTATTGAGTTCATGATAATTACTTGGTTGGTAAAATCACTATCATGTTGATAGCTTAACTATAAGAAACTATTGTGTTTTTTTATGAACTCAGTAATTATTTTCTGAACTCCTAGCAACTGATTATTTTGAAGACTTTGACAAAAAAAGAACGCCTAGCAATATTCCTGATTCATATACAGAAAAATTTTGAAATAAAGTGAAACACAGTATGGCATATTCTACTTACCTATCTAGATAAACATATTGGAATGCACCACCGAAAATTGCTGCAATCCATACAGACCACAGTGTAGTTAGACCCCATGATGCATGGAAATCACGTAATAACAGCCTCAAAGAAAGAATATACAAACATATATTTATGAATTCACACGTTGAATATTCCATGAAATGAACATTGAATATACATGGAATGAAAGATTATATTGTAATTTAAAAGATCTAATCGAAACTAAACCCGTTCAAATAACTAGTCAGTAAATCTTGTCTCATCAACACTTTAAGATCAAAGAATTTATTAACATGACAGATGTAATAATAAGTGAACGAATAGTCTAGTGAATAAGTCAAGTGATTGACTACTGAGTAGTAACAAATGTCATGTTTGTTTATTATATAGTATGATTGATTGAGTCCTGTCGATCAAATAGTAATGTGATCACTAGTCTACGAGGTTTGATATCGCCTGTACTATATTGGGATATTGAGTGGTAAAAGGTTGTCGACAGTGATCGATCAATTTTGAATATCTCAATCTTATAAAACTTTAGTCGTGACCCGGATAGCTTAGACTATAAAGCCAGATAACTCCGGTTCAAATAACGCAACAACAAACACTTCCCCCACTATTGTAAGTACGCCCCGTCGACGAGTCAGAAAAAAACAAAAAAACCTTAGGTCCAAGGTTTTCTGTCGACTTCCTTCAACCACCTAAGTTAAGTGTCAACAACTTACGACTTGGAGAGTAACAAATAAACAGCTTAACGAAATGTAAAAAAACAACAATAAAGTGGAAATAACAATATCTATCGCCGTGAAAAGAAATATAATTCAAGAGTGAGTAATAATTAACCCAACCTTTCCAATATACATTACAATTATAAACAGGAACTGAACGAATAAGGTTACATGTATTGATACAGCTCAGTTGAATAGTTAATAACTATAACATGAACTAATGACATGACTATCTTTGAACACTCCCGACTTTACTGCTACCTACTAATATCACAAAAAACTACGTATTTCGGATTAAGCGGTAAGCTAAACATTCAGTTGTAACTGTAAATAATTCCCCAAAATCAATAGCTCATTAAGTATTCGACATCGGATGCTGACCACATTGTTTTAAGTGGACTTGTTTAACTGAAGGCTTTCGATCATGCATCCGTACTAGATCACGTTAAGACCCAGCTCCTACGTTTACTAACCAGATTAGAGCAAACGATTCTCGATATATTGATAACGCATCAAATATATCTTTCCTACCTCTTCGCATCTGACTTCTGGTTTTATCTAATTTGTGGACGATTCGAATATAGAAGGTGTTACTGGTTTATAGTTGCAAAGCTATAATACCGATCGTATCTTCACAGTGAAATGGAGTAACAACATTTAAAGCAATTAGTTCCTTTTGTAAAAATTTCGATAGAGTAATGAGAAGACGGGGTTGATGTGAAAAGTGTAATGCATTTGCGCTATACATTTTGAACAATCTGATCAAGGCATTTTATTTGAAAATTAATGAAAGTCAATTAAATGAAAGTTCAAATAAACATAGTAATAAAGGAGAGAGAAAATTAATATCGTATAGAATGAATAGGAAATTATCGCATTATCCTAGGTATTACCAGGGTAAATTCAAAGTTACGACAAATTGTTTTTGTATTTATAAGGAGCGTTTAAATTTACGAATAGCCAAGGCTCCTATAAACTTGAGAATTCGTCCTTGACAATTTCTATACAACGTTTTAAAAGCTGCATTGATGTCAGTTCTCTGCCCCGTTCCAATTATGTGTTTTGTCATCGATGTATATATTCCAATGTGCTTTATACGATTTATTAGTATAAAATGAGAATTGGGAAATGGTTAGACAAATGTGTTATTTCTTGAGTGCAGCATTTGAAGACTTTTTAACGGTGAAATGAAAAATGTCAGAATGAACGAGTTGACATGAAAAACTGAGGTCGGTGCGATAGCCACGATTAGTTGCTGCAGACTTCGGATGACATGTCTCAGGATCGGTCACAATGGCACAAATTTACTAACTCTATTTCACTCAATTACACGTTGAATTTCAGTATTCCTTCATATTCACTTTTCTAATGTGTCTTTTCGAACCACATTGCCAATCTTGAGTCGTTCACATGATCATTGCCACTACATTATTTGAATTCCCTTTATGACCGCCATATTGATTTCATCTCATTATGCTAATATGGTATAGGAATTTGATCTGACACACATTTATTCAACGCTCTACGTTGATGGTGAATAACTTCTAACACAAAGTGACGATTAGATGAATAACTAATGCTATGAAAGTAGACTGAAAGTCAGATAGCGATACAGAGAAAGAGAGATTCAAGTCATGCTACTTAATAAATAGTTTTCAATTGTTTCACGGTCAACTGAAAACAATGAGCACTAGCAACTAACAGATAATGTGTACATAAACACCCATATATAATTAACCAAACTAGTAATCTCGTTATTACTTCATAATGAAAGCCTAATGAAAAGAAAAAGAAACAAAAACAAACATATTTTCTTTATTCTAAGGTCGACGAAAACAAAATAATTGAAACCAGATTTCTCACATTTTTAAACTTGTGACAGTTGGATTGAACTAGAACTTTCTAGAGATAAGACGTAACACAATAAGAATAAAACGTCAGTGATAGTGATAAAGAGAGTGTAATAGAAAGACTAGAGTGAATCTGAAAAATTTATATTACAGGCTACTGTCAGTTGGAGAGAGGGATAGACGCTTTTTTCAGTATGGGGTCGTTGACAGTGCGTCATTACGAATAGACCATTGTTGGAACCCACAATATTAGGATACCGCAGTTAAGATCAATATGTGCAGTAAAGGATTTGTAAAGTAGTCTAGTTTTGAATCACTGCAGCAAAGCAGAATTCCTTATTTGATTAGTTCAAATATGTTTTCCCAGTTGTGCCATAATTCTGTGCACAATAACACTTGTATTTATCTAAGGTTGATGATATACCTTGAATGGATGAAGCAATCATATTGCACAGTGACTGCATTTGCTTTTCACAAATCAGGCAGATAGACGTCAATTTATATCCGAAAGAATAGAACAGCGTTTTTATGTTTACACTTTACGTGTTCACAAGAAACGTGTTCTTGTCGCTACTGTTCACTGAACAGAGAAAACTATATCATCTGTTTACTCCACGACTATGTAAGTATGGAAATACATAAACGTGGAGAAGGTGAACAAATCTAACACAATAAATCGTTGTAACGTTTAACTCGGTCACAGAGCTCAACTTCATAGTTTTCAGTATACCTTTTAATGGAATATAGACACTTTCATGTGAATATCTTGATTGAGATAGTTGAAACTAGTTCGAAAAGTCAAACAACTGCTCTTAAAGTCGGACATCGTTAAGCGTAAGTTGACGAATGGTTACTGCAATAGGAAGCAACTTACCATGGAGTATATGAGGCTGCTATAAACAAACATATAACAATTCTGTCACATAGTTGAAGTGTAGAACGTAAACGCCTGAAAGTTTATGAGTAGAAATGAAAAAAACACACAAAATGTTACTTATGAAATAACATGATTAGGGTAGTTCACTTATTAAACAATACGGAACATGATACTAATACTGAATTATATATGTATATATAGTTAGTCAATTGATTGAAGACATTCATCAAAGTACATCAGTCAAAATGATCTGAGTTGGATATTAATTAGGTTATTTTGTAAATTACTTGAATAACACTAGATTCATCCTTGTAAGTTATCGTTTGTGAGATCAATTTTGAGGCGGAGATTTTGTGCGTGTTTATGAGGATTAGTGATAATAAGTGTTCATTTAAAAGATTAGATGGAAGCATACTATGGTTGAGTGATATTTGGAAATGATTGTTTGGTTTTCTAGCCACTTCTCACATTGTCAGAATAGTTTCAGGAAGTGATAAAGTATTTTGCAACATAACGAAGGATACTTGTTACATTATAGTGATTTTAGAAGAATCATTGATTTTCTAAAGATTCTGATCGGTTTTCTAATTGCTACAGTATGATCTGATTCTCCTTAGTGCGAAGTAAATCATAATAATGGTTTCTTTCGCAATCTTCCTCGAAGCCATAATAATAAATAAATAATTTCATATAATTCGGTTTTCTACAATCAATTATTGATTACTAAATATAGAGAAATGTTATGGGAATGAAATTACAGAAGAACAGACATTGATTACGTAACTGGATAAAGAAGTCGTGGAGGATAATCATCATTTATTTCAGGACTGCAATTTTACCAGCCAATCTCTTGTTCAATGAACCAATAATAAATAAATTTCACTTGTTAGCTTTGAAACGAAAATTCATCGAATTGTTTGCATTATTGTTTGTCCAACCTGAAAGTGTGTTTATCTAAGCCTCAGTAGTGATTAAATTCCATAGTCACTAGACGAGATGGATCAGAATCCCATGAAGTGCACGAATACATGAACACTGAAGATGAGCACTGTTGATGAGTACTGGTCAATAAAAAGCATGGATTGAAGGCTACCTATCTACTGTTTTCAATCATCTAACATACGCTACATCTATATGCCATTTCGTGTCTGTACCTGACTGTTTCGATGATGAATAACTCACTGACTGACTAAGTTCACGGGTAAATTTGAGTTTTTATATGAATGAGAAGATCTAAACAGTGGCACTAGACATATCAGTTGACATTGCTGTGTCTCATTATCATATGACGAAGAACATAGTAAGTTATGAATACCATTGATCATGGTGAACTTGAACGATTACACAATGATTTTATATTACTGAACAAAATCAAATTACTGAGTGAATATTAGTGGATGACTAAACATCAGAATATGTGATATAAAAAGTATTCGATTAAAGTAATCTCTACCAACGAGAGGATTATCACGCCTTCCTTCCACAATGCAGACGGATGTGATATGAGACTGAAGTGATATATTTACTGTTCTGCATTACAGTTTAAAATTTATTTCAACATGAATCATAATTTTGGTTTCCAAATGATTACCACTCTTAACACAGTTATTGAATAAAACCCTCTGATACAAAATGCTATGAACAAATCAAATATGACAGTGTAATTTGGTAATGGAGTTAAGGTTTATGTATTTGTCACTGAGTAATATTTTCTGTATGAGAACTGTTTCTAACACGAACCAATTGTCTGAACCGAATGTGTGTCGAATCCGAGACTTTTAAGTACAATTAATCGATTGATTATCCATTGGTAACCGAAGTTGAAACTATCCTCAAACATGCTGCATTGTAAAACACTGAAAACACTTATTCACAATGAAACTGATTATTTACTCCGCAATATCACTCATGAATCCACTGCTCTAATGAGATAAACCGATTCTCAGATTTTTGAGTATGTTAAATTCTCAATGTGTATTTTGTCGTCAACGAACACGTATATTGAATGGTATGACTAATTGAAATAAGGTAATATTAAGTTAATCTCCAATCACCGTCTATATTACTCTTTCGTAAATTTGTATTCAAATGTAACATTTGATAGAGAAATACAAGAATGACGTTGTCGGTTCACCTGTGAGACTAGACTGTACTAATTTGAGAAGTACTTATGCTTTCTTTTAGTGAAATAATCATGTGAAGTGACATAGAATATGTATAAACTTATACTTAAAGTAGTGTTAACTATACAAATGACCTCGAGATAACCTTTACACATAATAGTTAAAAGTACGAATAATAAGTAGAATTGTTTTTGTTTTAAAAGGATGGATTGTGATTAGTTATGGAATCATGGACGCACGTTTTATCTAATTTTTATTCGCGTTAGCTATATGCATCTGTATTCTAGTATTGTTGTTTACAATGGCATTGAAATCCGTTAGGTTTCGCTCTCAACGTGCTGTCCTTTGAATCCAGACAACTGTTAATTTGGTCAACGGTTATGATATTTATATCTTTAGCAGTAAAATTTTGAGTAATTACGTCGTTTATATTTAGACTGTCTTCGGGGATGAATGCTATGTTGTCATTGACTCATCTTCAAGGAGTATGAAGTCTGTCAGATTCAATAACAAATGTCTAAATGTCCAGCATGTATTAACAGAATTACACTCATGACACTTAAATCTGTACATAGAACTATGTTTCACTTTCAAAATCGTATTCTTGATTGTTATTAACAACCATTTTTAAGTAGGTGTCTTTTGAGAATATCGCTAACTTAATTAGATTTTGCTTTACAGTACAGGGTGAGTAGAGAGCTAATCCAAACTTTTGATAGACTTTTCGGTTTCATTCAATTTTAAGCATAAAGGCATATGTGATCACTGGACTTTAAATAATAATCAGATGCATATACATACTCCAGCTGTGGTATTTAGACTTGTCTAATGTGATAGCACAGTCACGCTACATTCATACACTAATTTCTATTCGTTGTTGTTCTTCCCTTTATTAAACACACTTCACATTCTCTATCTCTTCGCAACCTTATTGTTGTTGTGTGGCTCATATGTATTTGGTGCCCCCTTGTACCAATGTTTATGTGTTAAAATCAGTTAATAAAACCAGGTTATATTGGCTGAAACTCTTGTTTCTTACTATGTCAGGCAATGAGACTGAGTAGCGGTAATAACAAAAGCAGAAAGTTACCGCTCCAGGGTAAAGTCTTGTGGCCAACTGTAATCGGATGTGATGACAGTAAGGTGTTTCCCTTAGATACCTTTCATCTCACTAACGAAAGGATGGGTTGGAAAACTTCAACCATGAAACTAGCACACCTTACTTTGCCCTACAGGTTTTTGATATTAGCGATTAGGCTTTCAAGGTAGCACCATTGCACAAGCAAGTGGCTATCAGGGCTGAGTGGATAACGTGATGGCGTTTGAAGCGAAAGGTACTACGTTCGAGTCCCGTAGTGATCATCAACTCTGAGATTCAGGTACATCCAGCTGACGAGTCCCAAATAGGACGAAAAGCGCGTCATGGATTCTACTGCTAGCCACTATTCATCTTTGCTTATAAATAGTAATCCTTCGTACATAAATGTAAAGGTCAGTGATAGTAAGTAGTTACATCTTTTTAGAAACCAGACTTTTGAAAAGACAAGTTTTCTAAGAATTAGGATTAGATAATAAAGAATATATTGTTGGATTGTCGGAATCACAATCAACGAGGATTTTGTGATAAAATTAAAGGTGATACGTATATACTATACGAAGTTCAACAACATAACTTTTCATAATTAAAAATACGTTCTTAAATACCATTCTTTTGAACTGATGTACCAGCGAAAGTTTGTTAGCTTCAAAACAATTAATTTTTAAGATAAGAAGACTAAGAAATCATTGAATAACTCTGTTCTCAGCAATGTACACCTATCATTCTATTACTGGGGGACATTCACGGATCCTGATGATTATAATACTTTGACATCAATTATTTGTAAATTCTGAAAGTCATTCAAAACAGAAACATTCAACCAATGTAATCATATAGTTACTTATTTACTCTCAAGAATTTCAGCCACTAAGTTCAAGGTCTGAACCCTGCTCTACCTATTTCGGTTTAGGCAATTTTGTAGTATTGTAGTGAGCAAGAACCCTGGTGGAGACAATTGAATGTATTTTAGCACAATATTACAGAATATCTCATTAAAATATGAGAACCATATAGTCAACAGTTAATTTACAAAATAACAATCAACTGCTTCAATTTGACTGTTTCTTCTGCAAATATCTGTCCATAGTCTTCGATTATAATTGTTCATGCATTTTCCTAGCGATTGCGTGCCTTTCCTATTCTACCCTTATCCATCTTCTACTGAAATACATTCAAATGCCCGACCATCACCATACACTACTTATGTGGATATCAGTAACCCACATCACAGTATCATTGGCCCTCACACTTGAAGTATTACTTACTTACTTACGCCTGTTACTCCCAATGGAGCATAGGCCGCCGACCAGCTTTCTCCAACCCACTCTGTCCTGGGCTTCCTTTTCTAGTTCTATCCAGTTCTTGTTCATTCTCCTCATGTCTGTCTCTATTTCTCGGCGTAATGTGTTCTTTGGTCTTCCTCTTTTCCGTTGACCTTCAGGATTCCATGTGAGGGCTTGTCTTGTGACGCAATTAGCTGATTTCCTCAAGGTGTGCTCAATCCACTTCCAGCGCTTTCTCCTGATTTCTTCCTCCGCTGGAATCTGGTTTGTTGTCTCCCACAGTAACTTATTGCTGATAGTGTCTGGCCATCGGATCCGAAGTATTTTGCGTAGACAGCTGTTGATGAACACTTGTATCTTCTGGATAATGGCTTTCGTATTTCTCCACGTCTCCGCCCCATACAGTAGAACTGTCTTGACATTTGTATTGAAAATTCTAACCTTGGTGTTGGTTGACAATTGTTTTGAGCTCCAGATGTTTTTCAGTTGTAAGTATGCTGCTCTTGCTTTGCCGATCCTTGCCCTCACATCTGCATCTGATCCACCGTGTTCATCAATGATGCTGCT